ACATTCTCTAGATCTCAGTTTTTTAATTTGAAAAAAGAAGAGATTTAATAACTTATTTTAATCACCATAGGGGGCTGTGATCAATATCAGAATGGAATAACAGATATAAAAGTGTTTCACTAATTGCAAAAATTCTAGGCACACATATCAATTATGATATGGCTGCTTATACTGTTCTTTGAAAAACAAAAGTAAAAAAATCAAACACGTATGTAATCAGAACTAAAAGAGTTAATTAAAACAATTTCAGGTAGAAAAACAAAGCACTTTGTCATTGTCAAGGATTAAAGTACAGAAAAAAATCAAACTAGAACAAACTTCAAATTAAATGTCGAATATCTTATAAAAGAATTATTAGAATGAGTTATCAGGTAATAAAATATAAAGTGGAAATAGGAGAACTACAATTTACTGCAGTACATAAGAAAAGGCACTTTATAGAGTTTAGAAAGATACAGCACTGTAAATACTACATATTTATACTATGCAGCGTTGTAGCCAAAAGCTTTATAAAGCTCCTTAGTACCTAGGAGAGGTTTGCATGATCAAAATATAGATGTGCAATTTTAAACAATTTAAAATAGTTTAAATAGTTTTGTGGGAAGTCTCCAGTATATTAATGTTCACTTATGTTTTAAAACTCACTTCTTCCAATAATTTTTTTAAAAACTCACTTCTGTAACTAATTATCTACATAACTGACCCAAACTTCTTAACTTTGGGGGGATCATTTTCCCCATCTATTAAATGAGATTTTACCAGATTTGAGCCTGTTGATATGTCACATTGTATTGGCACACACACATACAAAAAACAACTGAATAACTGTCACGGAAAGTTAATAAGCATCTGTATATGGTAATGGTGACAGTAGTGGTGGTATAAACCAGTGGTCTTTAACTGCTGGTCTTTAGCAGACTGTGTAGAAGTTCACAAGTGCAGAAAGGCTGAAAACTAGCTAAATACCAAAATGGTTAGAACCACTAGTCCATGGATTGGTGTGTAGATCTAGGGTGCCTATTCTTAGGTGTAAAAGGTTGAAGAATGCTAGTATATACACAGCAAAATTTCAAAGACAGTTGCTACTCCACCTTCTGTGACTCCAAACTTGATTCACTCTGCCTTTATCTTCGATCTGTTTGCAAATAATATAAGGTCAAGAAGCTAAAATTAAAGGTTTACAGAGGGCTGGAGTGATAGTACAGCTGGTAGGGCATTTGCCTTGCACATGGCCGATCCGGGTTCAATTTCCAGCATCCCGTATGGTTCCCTGAGCACCGCCAGGAGTAATTCCTGAGTGCATGAGCCAGGAGTAACCCCTGTGCACCACTGGGTGTGACCAGAAAAAGCAAAAATAAATAAATAAAAGTTTACAGAAACAACTATACTACTAGCATCCTCTAGACCTGAACTGATAATCGATATGGCTATTGGCAGTACTCACAATGATTATAGAAGACCTATGAAGAAGAGACAATAGTTTGTACTATAAAAGTTAACTCCAAAATAAAATTTCAAAACAAAAATAAAATGCCACTAACAAACTCACAAATTCAGAATGTGTGTGCATACATATATAATCACATGCAAAAGTAGGCATGCTTGATATGTTGCTACAAACATAACTCATGACAAGGCAATGCCACACGGCATCTAGCAAGTTTTGCCTTTAATCATTAATTATGAGATAATAAGCTACTTTTTTCTTCTTTTTTTGCATCACAGCCAGTAATGTACAGGATTTACTCTTGGTTCTGCACTTAGGAACTACCCTTAGTGGTGCTCAGAGGACCATATGGGATGCTGGGAATCAAACTGAGGCTGGTCACGTGCAAGGCAAATGACTTACCCAATGTGCATTGCTCCAGCCCCAATAAGCTACTTTTAAAAGATATTTTTCATTTTCATGAATTCATATATATGCATCCTACTTGTATTTAGCACTGTAGCACTGTCTTCCCATTATTCATTGAGTTACTCGAGTGAGCATCAGTAACGTCTCCATTGTGAGATTTGTTGTTACTGTTTTTGGTATATCAAATACGCCACAGTTAGCTTGCCAGGCTCTGCCATGCGGGTGGGATACTCTCGGTAGCTTGCCGGGCTCTCCGAGAGGGACGGAGAAATCGAACCCAGGTTGGCCTACTTATATTTATGTACATAAAATTTATATATTCACATAAATAATATACATAATAAATCAACAGGGGTAAGAATCTGAGCCACAAATGAACATCCAAATTTTGAATTCTTACTTAAACAAGAGCTAAATGTTCATTTTGTCTTTCCTTACTTCTTTTATTCACTAAGGAAAAAGATTATTGAGAATCTCCCGCTTGACAAAAATTATATATCCATGGATTATATAATTAAATAGACAAGTATCTCACTGTGAATCTAATGATGTTTACAGAAACCAAATCTAGAAGAAAAGAAGTTACAGCATACAATATGCATATATATGGCATGAATAGGAGCAAAGTATTCATATCTGAACTGTTAGAAAATGCTTCTTAAAAACAGTCATATTTCTAGAGAGTAGAAACAGCCTGAGAAAAACTCTTAAAGGGAATAAAATAACAAAATTAGAGCTTGACCACAGGGGTTATATCATGAACTTTAAAACCATCAAATAATAGAGAATTTATTCTGACAACACTGGAAAACAAAGGACATTGGTTCATTACGATTTTCTCTGGATTCTCCCCCCAAAAGATTATCTACTATATCCTAGCACAAAGTATATTTTATAACAAAATACAATGTGCATTTCCCCTGAAGTTAGTACTTAAAACTTATACATACTATCAACAATTCTATTCAATATATAGAAATCGTAGACAGTGCTTGTCAGGTAAAAGAAATAAAAAGAATAAATTAAGAAGTGAAAAAGGATTCATTTGTAATAGACACATTTCGTACAATTAAACTTCAAAACAAACCTATAAATACTTAGAAACAAAGAATAGTTATTAGCAAAACTGTTGAATATGGTGCTAATACATAAAAGTCAGTATTATGTTAAAGTACCTGCCGCAAACAGTTTAATAATGAAAATTTAAAAGTATACCTATATATCATGTCAAAATATAAAGTATTATAGATATTAATGTGTTAAAATATGTGTAAGAACTCTTCTTGCATACTATGTCTTTGTTTTATATGTATATTGTTATATAATCATGGAGAATTGAAAAGGACACAGACAAATTGCACTTATAGATAAAAACCAATAGGTAAGTCCAGGAACATATAACTTCATTAACAAAGAACCGAAACCTCAAACAATCCATCAACAGAAGATTAAAGAAAGAATAAATAGGTTGTGATCTATATATTTATTTATTTATTTATTTTGCTTTTTGGGTCACATCCAGTGATTCTCAGGGGTTACTCCTGGCCCTGCACTCAGGAATTACTCCTGGCGGTGCTGGGGTACCAAATGGGATGCTGGAGATTGAACCTGGATCAGCCGTGTGCAAGGCAAACACCCTACCTGCTGTACTATCGCTATGGCCCCAGTTGTGATTTATTTATACAATGAAATGCAACACAGTAATAAAGAAGAATTACTGATTCTATAAATGTACATATACACGTATGTATGACTTCCACTGACATTATTTAGGACATTATAAGCTGCCATACACAAAACAATATCAACTGCATGACTTCCTTAATATCATAATAAACAGAAAAAATAAACAAGGATAGTAAAAAGAAACTCCCTGACTCAAAAAAAGTACCAGAAGACATCAAACCTTCCTATGCATAAGTGCTATGCTATCATGACTCTAAATTGATGATCCTAGAAATGTTGTATATCTTAAGTTGATTGGCATTAGTTCTTTGGCAACACCAGTTTACCTTATTTAAATCTATTTAAATATTCTTTATAATATACCCGGCAGAGCCTGGCAAGCTACCCGTGATGTATTCGATATGCCAAACACAGTAACAACAAGTCTCATGATGGAGACATTACTGGGCCCGCTCGAGCAAATCAATGAACAACGGGAGGACCGTGACTGACTGAGTATAATATACTGTGTTGATTTACTTATATCACTTTACATATGGTACTGTTATTCTTGATGAATTATTCTTAATATTTATTCTTAAATTATTACTACTTCACCTTATGATTTAGAGATCCCTAGTGCTATGTCTTCAAAATATATTTGAAAGTATATCTGAAAGTGCACGGTAATTGATAAAGAGAACAAAGTCTTATTATTGGGGAAAAACCACATTCATTATCATTATCTACATGTAAGATTTATTCACTATTTATCTTATTTCCTTAATTTTAATGAAGGCAAAAATGGCAATCTACAATAAAATTTATAAAACAATGGTAAAATTTTGCCAAACACAGAAACATCCCCAATACCAATACCCAATACCAATGCAACATAAACCTTCCTATGCATAAGTGCTATGGTATTATGAATCTAAACTGATGCTAGAAATTTACAGGGCTAGAATAGGCAAATTAAAACAAGAAAAAATTAGGATTTGTCACTGTATCAGCCTCTTCTTTGGCTTTTCATAAAAATTACTATTAAAAATGCTAGGTGAAACTTGAGGGAATTGTGCTGAGTAAACTCTGTCTGAAGGAGAGACAAATGCAGAACATTCTCTCTCATGTTTGGGATATGAGATATATTAAGGTGTTAAAACATGGACAAAGGCAGCAGAAGTGGAGAGGTGTTCTACAGAATCAAGTTTACCTGACGACGGGTGAGGGTGTGCCTGGAGGGGCCCTTAGGACTTGTTGGAGGGAAGCAGGCATTCTAGCGAAGCTGTGGGGTTGGAACCATGAATGCATGAAACTGTTAACAGTATTGTAAATCACAGTTGCTTAATAAATATGGGGAAAAGAATAGAATGCTATATAAAAATGGTAGCAAGTTGTGAAAAAAATATATTCACTCTGGTACTTTCTTCAGACCTCTACGCCAAATTTGAATGTTTGGGAATCAAACGTGATACTTTACCATCAGTAACTTCTAAATATGCTTTTGTGATGATACTCCCGGCAACATTTAAAGTTTGGCAGATGTAATAGCCAACATCAGATCGCTGGACATTAGTAATCGTGAGGTCGCCGGTCTGGGAGACTGAAAAGCGGCTAGATGACTGCGGCGGCTGATACGAAAACAAAAGATTCTAGAATTTGAGAAGAAAGAATAAAGTTGTTCATTGTCAGGCTTCAATATTTTAACATCTATGCATCTACGGTTACATAAGCATACGTGACACCACATATATGTGTATAACTTAGGCATGCTTTATCACATGTACACAAAAGTACAAATACATAAATATATATATATACACACACACAAAGATATTTCATGAATTTAATTTCAAGGATATTATTATTATTATTATTTTGGGGGATGAACATCAAATTCTCTAGGCTTAATCTTGGCTCTGTGCTCAAGGATTATTCTGTGCTCAGCAATCCTCCTGCAGGGCTTGGGGAACTTCCAATGGTCTCAGGATCAAACCTGTTCAGCAGTCTGCAAGGCAAGTGCCTCAGCCTTCATGCTATCTCTTGACCCCAAGGGTATTATTTTTTCACTGGAACTAGTCTACTGTTAAACATATATTATAAAAGACCAATAATTGCCACCAAGTTGTTCATCATTTCTTATTTTTTTCCTACTAGCTGGTGAGCCTATCCATATGGTTTTTGAAATTCAAAAGCTGACTTTAAGAATTAATAACAATCTTACTTCTCTAAAAGACTATATTAAATAGAAAGTCAAGGTAAAGTGTGATGTAATTCTGTGAGGCAAAATTCTCACTATGAACCAATTATGCTTGTCAGAAGAAGTGCATTATTTCATGTAAAATAATACATTATGCCATTATGTTTTATGAAATAATGGATATCAACGATTTTCCTCTAACCAAATAATGTTGCTTCTTTTTTTTAAAGTTTACTTTCCTTGTTAACATATATCATTTTTAAAAGACTAATTCCACTGAATACACTTCAGCCAACATGAGTTGCATCATAAAAGCAACCAAAATTAAAGTATTTCAAAATTTTATCTAGAGTAAGTAGCTTACTGAATAATTAGAATAGATCAAAGACTCACTTAAATATCACACTTTGAAGAACTTTTCAATATTTTGCTATTGCTATGGTACAGAATTTTTCTTATGTAAATTTAGCAAATATGGTGCTTTAAGGCCAAGTTGAATGCATGTGAAGTCCCAAGACAATAGATATGAAATGAAGGGTTGTTCTTCAAAAAATAAAATTGCTTTACATTTTCTTTTCATTAAGCTAAAGTCTAATAGTGAGATTAGAGTATGTAAGAGAATAGATTTTAATATCCAAGTTTCAACGTATATAGAAATTTCCAGTTTGCAATATGCTTAGATAGGATATTTTTCCAAGCTTGTGTTTTCTGTGAACAACTATCTCTCAATTTATCTCTGCTTTTTTTTTTAAACTGTGGAGTGCTTATATTCTCTCTTAAAAGAGAATATCCTCTCTTTCTCGTCTCTCGCCCTTCTCTAAGAATATTTCTTTAAGCAAACTACTTTATTTCAATAAAAAGTTTAGATAGTAGTATAGGATAGGAAATGATCACATTTGATAATCTTCAAAGTAGAATATACAAAACTATATCTACTGTTTGAGAATTTCAGAGTTTGATAAATCTCATATGTATACATGTATAAGTATACATCTAGACAGATATGCAAGTTAAAATGATATCAGTGGGGAGTATACCAAATTTCTGATACTTTGAGAGAAATTATTCCAGTGATTAATTTTTACAAGACTTTATTAAAATTTATTTAAAGAGATGTGAGGGGAGAGGGAAAAATGTGTGTTTGACAAATAATACAGACTTCTTCAGAGTGGAAATAAGCAAGCAAAGAAGCAGATTAGCAAGCGAGATGCATATTCAAGGCAGAACATGGACTTACTTACATATTCAAGGCAGGACATGGGCTTAAAGGGCAAGCCTGACTGTCACTATTTTGAATATGTCCTTCAACATTTAATTAAAGATATTTGAATAAAAGAAATGATAACAAAATGAATTGGGGGAGAGAGGGGAAAGAAAGTCAATTTTTCCACTAAAGGCCAAATCAGCACGATGTTAAAATTCATATGATAATCAATTGTGATTCTATCGGGGCAGGAAAGACAACCTAGAGGGCAGAGAGCATGCGAGGTGCACACGCTAGGGACAGTGGCTCAATCCCAGGCTTCACAAGTGCCTGGAGCACCTCCAGGAACACCTCCAGAGTGCTGAATGCCAGGAACAGCCCAGGAGAATTGCTTGGGGTGGCCCAAAGCAACCAATCAAGCAACTGAATACTGTTCTATATATGACCCTACACATCTAAAGAGTGAAAAGAGAATTAAAACAGTGGGGTGACTTCTGTCTCTTCTCTTGTAGCTAAATTTCTTTGTGGTTGCTGTTGTTACTGAGATTTCTTTTCTTCTTTTTTTTTGGCTTTGTTTGGGGTCATATCCAGAGATGCTTAGGAGTTACTTCTGATTTTGAACTCAGGAATCACTCCTGGCATTGCTCGGGGGACCATATGGGATGCTGGAGATTGAACCCAGGTCCACCGCATGCAAGGGAAACACCCGACCCGCTGTACTATTGCTCCAGCAACCGAGATCTCTATGTACTCGTATATCTCAGCTCTTTGGAACCGGGAGCTATATGCTACGTGACTTGTTTTCTTTTATCTCTTGACTCTCATCTTCGCTGACAGGAATACTTGTATAATGTCATACCTGACTCCCCTCTCTCCTCCAAAAAATAGCTGGTTGAGGATTTCCCGTTGCTTCACACTGAAAAGTGACAGTTCGCCCCAAGGCCACAACCTGGTCACGGGGTTTCACAACAAAATGTGGAGGTTCTAAAGAAGATGAAAAAAATTATATCAATCAAAAGCATGCCAATATTGTCCTAATTGAGACAATTTGCTGGTATCCCAAGCACTACTTTTATTCTACACAACTCAGTATGCACTATAGTTTATAATGTACAGATTCACGTTCTTAATTCAATTGAAGCTAAATTACATGCATATCTATAGAATAAAATAGAGAGTTGGTCAGAAGAGGCTTTTATTACCTGACCTTGTAAGATTAAAAACCACAAAAGAAATGAAAAAAAAACCTTGAGCCAACTATTTGGCCCTTTACATTCAAAGTATACTTGAAATTTGTCTGAATAAATATTATCGTTGCTCATTCAAAGTTGTTTAAAGGTGAATGGACTTTAATCATACACACAAGGACCCCCTGGTGTAGGCAGGCCCTAAAATTACTTTAATTTAAGTCAAAAGCTCCTGAAATGCTACTGTGCAAATTATAACCATTTAAAATCTTCAGTCCAATTACTCAAATAGAAATGAATTTAAAGTAATAGTGGAGTCGAATGCCTCCGTCATTTACATAGGCAAGGGCATGTTCAAACAGAATATATATGGAAATGAGGGTAAATTTGAAACATCTGCTCATCCTGACATTATAAATACTGCCAGCTTTGTCCAAACTGTTTGATTTATACAGACTTAAATGGCCACTTCATTCAGCAGTAAATAGAGTGTCAGAAAATTATGTCAGTTACATTGAGTTCGGTGGCAGCTGAAAACATGAGGTGTGCTGATGGAGCCTCTCCTATGGAGGGATGCCTATTTGGGGGCTCTCCTTTGTACTTGGGAAAAATGTGGGCTAACCATGAGTCTTTCTACCTTCTATTTACACTTTTCAAATTCATTCCTTATCAGTTGTCTGGAACACCTAATTATTCTTCTCTCCTGACTCAGTTCAAACTGAAGTGAAAGTTTCCAGCCAGACATTTACTGGTTTATAAAGGATAGGGTTAATCCAGTTCACTTTTAAAAACAGTTCCATTCTTTTCACTTCCTTATAAATACTGAAAATTACTTCTGTTACTTACTTATTCCTCCTTAAACTGAACATGATTCAGAATTGTTATCAGATGATAGCCAACAAAGTTACCATTTTGCTCACAAAATGCAATTTCTTGGTTAATAAAGAAAATAATTAAGGGAGCTTTTTTCTGGACAAATATTTTCTGGTCAGTTTTGTAAAGATGTATACACACATATATGTAGATTGACTGTAATTTAAATATATATAAAGTTGTTAATGTAGATACATACATGTGCCTATTTAAATAATGTTCTTATATATTATATAAATTAATTGAAATGTAAACATTTCTTTAAAGGAAAGAATATTGTAAAACAACTTGCGGAGGATTGCTTGGTGGCAAAACTGAAGAAAGTAATTAGATAGCCTAACAACTAGATTAGCAAGCTTTCTTCTACACTCCCTTTTTGTTTTTAATTGAGGTTTAGCAGAAATTATACCATTTGACTAGAAAATTATAGGAGACCTGAAAAATCAGGTCAAATAATTTCAAATGTCCTGTAACTTATAGGGAAGAAAATACGAAGTCAGGAGGTATAGTTTAGGTTGAATTTTGAAACGTTAAAGTCCTAGTTTATAATTTTTAACAACAACAACAAAAAACTCTGATTGTAATTGAGTGGTTTACTCATGACTTTAGCAAGCACTATTATTATCCAGGTATAATAACAGCCATCTGCAGCACTGCTTGGGGATTTTCTTCCATACACATCCAGACAGGAGCATTTGATTCCTTAGTTAAAGGCTGGGGTAATTGATGTTGAAATCAGACTAAGAAATTGAAAGAACTGACTGGATGATAAACTAAATCCAGAAGACAGTTTGGTTTCTTTCAAAGAAAGAAACCCAAATCATTAATTGAATGGATGGGAGAATCTGACTTTCCAATATGCAGAGAATTTGAGTAGGAAAAAATAAATGTTCAGACCACTGAGACAAAGTAAAAACTTCGGGTGGTCTCCTTCCTAAATCTCAGAAGCATGGCTAATAATGTCTGCCAGAATCCATGTTTCCTTTATAAAATGCCAACTTTACTGAAACCTCAAAGACTTACTTGGAAACAAGGAATACAAACCCTTATGCTAATTACATTTATCCTGAAGCAATCCTGCCCAAGATATCTCCCTGGAGGTGATTTTACTTTGTTTTGTAGGCATTTTCTTGAGCCAACATCAATATTACCTCCAAAAGCCACAACATATTTATTCAAATATAAATTAAAATTCCTTTTCTACATGTATGCTGAATATTAGATAATAACCACATTTAAGAAAATAAATGAATGATTTATTTAACAACCTATTGTCACCTATTTAGACTGAGGTTTCATTTGTCATATGTACCCCTTTAAAATTCTCATTAAACAAAATATTGTTTGAGGGCTATGACATTAAAAAAATGGTGCAACTGTAAATACATATCCGTGTTATACATATCACATTTGGTTATTGTTGGCAATTTAAAGCATTGGACAAAAAAAAAACAGAGAAAGCACTACAGATAATCTATAAAAAATCAAACCACACTGTTTTAAGGTATAGGTCTATATGTTATTTTCATTACTACTTAGTAACCTATATACATTACTTCAGATTATTTTATATTTATTTTAATATTTAAATTATTTCAAATTTTACTACTATTTCTATTTTGTATTACTATTTAGATAATTTCTTTCCAAACTTCACAACAGTGATTGCTAATTCTCAGGCAGACTATGCTCTTAATTAAATTTTTATATTAATGAAGGTAAAAATTTATCATGACTTTGTTTTTGAACTTTTGATCCTCATATTTATCACAGCTTATCTGTTCTGGACATTTTGTTCCTCATCCATTTTTTTTTTATTTCTAGCAAGTACTAGGAGGCTAAAATGTTATCTATATCCATATATTGTAGATAAGATTTTCCCACTCTATTAACAGTTTTACTATTACTATTAGGCATGTCTTGTTTCATACTAGTTAAATATAATAAAGACTAAATAATATATAAATTCTATAAACATTTAATTCCATTTTATTCTGATCTTTGCATTAATTATTAATATTTAATCCACATATATTACTGTTTATTTATTGTGCATATTGGGTAGTATATGGGAAGGTGTTAATTTTACATCTGTTATCACATGCTCATTAATGAATAATTTATTCTACATGTATCAGTGTGAAATGACACTTTTATATTCATGGAGCATATTAACTGAAATAAGATTATCTTATGGTCAAAAATATTCCTTAGCCTACCACTTAAGAAATTCATGCAAAATTCACCTGCAAATAGTGTTTTAGAATTCTTAAAGAGTAAACACAATTTCTCCAACATACTAGTCATAAATATACTTAGAATCTAATGGCTATGTATAGAAAGATAAACATTTATCAATGCAAACTGTAAGAAAATTTGGAAGCATCCTATGTCTCATATAAAATGAAATAAAACAAATCTGACACACAGAAAAGAAAAATGAATCAAAACATTCCTAAACACAAACTTGTACACCAATGAACTTTCAATTTCTATTGCTGAATAGCTACAAAAATTAAGATGAACAACACAACTTCCTAAAATTTCTTTGAAATTCCCCCAGTAAAAGCCCAAATACTCTGTGAGCACAGGATGTAGTTGGTTTACTTTTACCTTAAGGATACAAATTGTAAAGATACTTAAGTTGAGATAGTGCTTTAATTAAATTTTTTTCACTGCTCTAAGGAAAGAAAACATAAAGGGATGCAGATTACATATCATTTAATAAGACATCAAGTTAGCAACCCCATTACCTGTACTCTTTGTCACAGTTACCCATACTTCCTGCAGACTTTATTCTGTGCAGTCTGTCTTTGAAGCCAATGACAAGTGAAACATGGAGCTGATTGGTTGAAGGACATGGAAGGGTATGGATGGAAAGGGGAAGAGAAGTTCCATTCACAGTGACACGGTGATTAGAAGATGGCCAATAAAATGTCAACTTACCAGACCCAACTAAAACAGAACAAAAAAAAAGAAACATGGAATAAATAAAAATAAAAACCAGAAAACAAAAAGAAAATGTAGCAAGATTCGACTTAACAATGATCTTTCTTTTAAAATAAAAACACATCAATACTTGGATACATGGTTCATACTATTCATGGATGAGTGAAAATTTGTTAGTATATTCAATGTGATCATGATTAATTTAATAAAATAAATGAATATTTATACTATGATTAAATGGCAAAACTAAAATGAATGGTATCTATAATGTTATACGATAGTTTTCAAAGACTACATTTTGTTACTACTAGATGACAAGGTTAGTTAACTATACACGTAATGAATTTAAAGACACTATAAATCTTAACTACTAGTGAAACAGAATAAGCCCAAACATCTGAACCAAGGATTAAAATGTTTCTTACAAAAACTCCATCCAAATAAATTTTAAAAGATATTTTCCCTTGATATTCTATTACATCTCTGCTTCGTATACTTGAGTAAGCAAGCAAGTCATCCTAAAATCAGGTAAAATAAAAGTGTGGGCTGAGAGTTTTCATTCCTGGCAAGTACCCTCATTCACAGTTTGAAGCAAAGAAGCAACATTATTAGAATGTGTAACTCTTAAATTATTGCATAATTTTTGAGAAGAAACAAATAGTACAACTAGAAAAAGAAACAACAACAAAAAACCTCCATCTATAACCCTTGTGAAAGTACTAATAGCATTTATCACTTCAAGGCTGAAACATTTGCCTGTATTAATATAGACAGCACAGGAATGCACAACTAGAATCTTAAGAAATATTTTGCCAACTTAGAAACTGAGATAAATATTAACAAGTGCAGAACTTTCTTAAAATAATAGTTTGAATTTTATATATGTATATATGATGTGTATATGTGCATATATGTATATATACTAATGCACATATATACAAATGTACACATATGCAAGCACATATATACCTATGC